GCGGGAGGTGATGCCACTGTTTCATCCCATACTATCTGAGGAGAAGAACTGACTTGGAAATACTGATGGATTTAGTGTACATTGGGGCAAATTCACACCTTTTCTTCTTTCCAAGAGGGCACACTGTCTGGAATGTGAGATTTTTTTGCCCCAAGAACAAGAGCTGCGCGATTACATCGTAACACCACATCGCATCTCATAGAAGCGAGAGGCAAAGCGCCAAACGGCGGCGGCAGTAGGGCGGCCGATCGTCAGCCCAGGCTCGATTGCCATGTCTTCAGCAGGAACTGGATCACGAGGTCGCGGAAACTATGGAAGGGCCGACAGAGACAGGTCGGATAGACACGAAGCGCCCGCACAGCAGCCGTTTCGGTGCCATATGTGTGGAAGGCATCAGAACGCGGGATCCATGAGGATCTCGATCGCAGTTATTAATCTCAACCTGAATCCTTATGGATTTGATCACTCCTGCGCTCATTGCGATCAATCGGCGCGAGCGGTGCTTACGGACGTGGTGTTTACGAATCTCTCTACTCCTTCAGCTTCGTGGGCCACGCTTTCCGCGACGGTGGTTGCCAGGTGGTGCAGTTTGCCGCTTTGCATTACTAGACTACTGCCGCGGGAACAGTGTCCATACACACCTCTCGCCACTACCACCGTCTGCGCATCCTCATCGCCACTCTGAGCCAGCGCGGCGGTGAGTTATACCTTGGGTCACCACCCACCTACTATTTTTTTTTTTCTCCCATCGTTGGACACTGTCGTCTGCCCCTCTGGTCCCCATCCTCCAGTTCTACTAGCTAGACGACCCAACCGGGGTCACACAGGAGGGGGAGGCTGGACCCCTCCTGCGGTTCCTGCCTAAGGTATTTTCATCGCGAGAAGGGTACAGCAATCCCTTCCCTCACGACTAACGAAGTCGATTATGGTTTACTAACAACGAGCTTTGAAGCGCGTCGCTCATCCTAGAGCAGGATTTATTTAGTCTAGTGAGAAGAACTCACTCTGCCGGGACTCGAACCTATGACCTGGTCCTTAGCAGGATGCGAGGCTATCCACTAGAAGACCACCGGGGCGACCGGTATTGGATGACTGCAGACTACAAAATTAGACTACTACTGATTGGAACGAGAAGAATATCACCGAGCGACTGAGTTGTTGGACTACGGAGCAGGTGACTACTGCTGTAGTAACACATGGGAGAGAGAATGAGAAAGAATGAGAGTAGAGAGAGAGAGAGAGAGCGTCAGAGAGAGATAGATAGAGGGACACGGAAACAGAGGGATATCTGCTCGTGGAAACGCGTGGGTGATGACGTGGATGACAGCACCGATGGTGGTTGATTGCGGGGCATGCGAGGATAACTTCTGATCGATGAGTGCAAACAAAGAGGGAGTGAGCGTGCGAGGTGCAGAATGCTGCGCCAAACGGGAGTCCTGACTGATTGAAGCACTGACTGATTGAAGCACTGACTGGGAGAGCAGAGCCCGAAAGCACTGGGTGCAGAGGGACCGAAGACAGCGGCAATGGCCTCGGTCGATTGCACTTGAAGTGACAGGGAGAGCAAAGTACAAGATGGCGGACCTGGAAATGCTGGCCTGTGCTGAGGAGACCCGCTAGGCTTATCCAGGTGAAAGAAAAAATGGCGGCCTGTGGCACGCCAAAAGAAAAATGCATTTCCTGCAATTTCACGGAAAATTCAAATAAATCGAATAAAGTCTATATAGACTGTTTCGGCAAAAAAGTTAGATATACTGTAATGGGGTTTCAGATTTAGAAATTAGCTTAGGAAGTTTCTGGGAAGATTATTCAGTGGCGATGAGTCTCACATTTAAGAAATATGTGACGTTGTGTGACGTGAATTCTAAACGCGCTCTGATTGGGTGATTGACACAATCTGATGGGGAGACCCACCGCACAGGATGCGCGGCCCTCCGGCCCTCCGCCACAGGGAGCAACGAGACAACGAGACACACGACACATGACACCAGCACCACACACCTGGTAGCACTACTGGAGTCATCCCACCGTGTCACGTCTGCGCATCCATGAGAGGGTGGCGCGCAAAACACGAGCGCTTGTGTATATGCAGTGCCGACAGATGTACGAGGCCTGCACCGACATACATGTGGATGGCATATAACATGGCCTTCATCTACACGATGGCGAGTCTGATCACAGACGATGTGGCAACAAGCTTGGCACGCCGAGACGCGGCAAACTTCTTCAGCCCCCAAGACTGCATCAACTTTCTTCGCTTCACGCAACCGCAGGTAGGTGCCCCCCAGTTGTCTCGTGTCCATCTCCTAGCAAGCACCTTGCTAGCTTTGCTGCAGCCTACTGCCACACTGTTGTAGAAAGCAAAGCAGCAGCAGTAGACTACTCTTCTCACCACNGCGAGTCTGATCACAGACGATGTGGCAACAAGCTTGGCACGCCGAGACGCGGCAAACTTCTTCAGCCCCCAAGACTGCATCAACTTTCTTCGCTTCACGCAACCGCAGGTAGGTGCCCCCCAGTTGTCTCGTGTCCATCTCCTAGCAAGCACCTTGCTAGCTTTGCTGTAGCCTACTGCTACACTGTTTTGTTGTAGAGAGCAAAGCAGCAGCAGTATACTACTCTTCTCACCACACACCTAGGGTTAGGGTTGCCCAGGGTATTCAGCGGCAGTGCGATAGAAGCATTGAATGCACAAGCCGTGGTCCTTCTGCTGAAACTGTAATTTCTAATCATCATGCTTTGCTCATTTTTCTTCGTCCCAGATCATGCTGATGCTGGATCTTCTCCTGATCCCTGCGTTCATCCGGACCGACTGTGGGTTTATCGTGAGTGGGCGAGAGGCTCTTTGCGTGCTGCTGTATCGCCTCGCGTTTCCATGCCGTCTGAAAGACATGCGCTTGGTTTTCGGGCTGAGCGAGTCCTGCATCTGCGAAACGTTCAATCGGATGCTGCATTTCCTCGACTTCAAATGGGGCTGGCTGCTCTCTGTTGACGTGGAGCGACTGAAGCCGAGGTTGTTGGTGGAGTTCGCCGAAGCCATATACAACGCCGGTTGCCCTCTAACACACTGTTGGGGCTTCATCGATGAAACCATCCGCGGCATTGCGAGGTACGTGTAAAAAATTGCCGATTTCCACTGTAGGTATCTTACCGTAGACGGGGGGTGGGCACGCAAACCGGCCGCAGCAGCAGTAGTAGAGTATTCTATGCGCAGAGTACGACTCGCGGACACTCACCAACTAAGTATTGTAAGTTTCAGTTTTGTGATGTACGCAAGCAACTGCATTTCGGCCCGCTTTCCGTATGGTTCAAATCGCGCCATTGCTGATTTCCCTCAGAGATTACCAGCTTCATCACGTCGCCGGATTTGCATAAATGTGTCGGTGCTTGTTCTTGTTGTGTCTAACTCTTCTGAGGCCCGTTCGCTTTTAACGGTGGTACTACAATGGCCACAAGCGGAAGCATGCGATCAAGTTCCAAGGCGTGGTTACCCCTGACGGACTATTCGTCGATTTGTGGGGCCTTGTGCTTGGCACACGTCATGATAGTTACTTGCTGGCGCAGTCTGGACTGATGCAAAAGCTGGCAGCACACTTTAACAGCCCTTCGGGCCGCCCGTACTGCCTGTATGGAGACCCGGCATACGGCTTAAGCGATCACCTCGTTTGCCCTTTCAGTGCCGCATCCTACGGCCCGCTTACGCCCGAGATGGCCGACTTCAACCAGCGCATGAGCCACTGCAGGGTAACCGTGGAGTGGGGCTTCAAGGAGATGACTAGCAAGTGGGCGTTTGTAGACATGAAGTCGCAGCAGAAGTATTTGTTGAGCCCAGTAGGCAAGCAGTACCGAGTGGCTACCCTGCTTTCCAACATGCACTCTTGCCTTAACGGCGGCAACCAGATTTCGCAGTACTTTAACCTGCAGCCGCCCACCCTCGAGGAATACCTTAAGGTGTAAGTCT